GGTGCTAAAGGTTCGCCACGAACTGGTACTAAAGATCTCCTCCCGCCTAGCCGTTGGAACCGGCACTAATGGACACTTTAGTGCCTGTTCTGTTACAAACCAGGCCTAATGTGTCTCACATTTGACCCTTTTTCTACTACTGGTACTCCCTCCGATCCAACAGAAAGCAACAAAAACATATAAAAATAGCACCTCCGTCTTACTAGAAGTGAGTCCTGCCGGTGATCTTATAACAACATATTCTTAAATGGCCTCTCTTTTCAAATATTGCCTTTGGAGGCCGAGCTCCATGGAGCTTGGTTTTGAAAAATTCAAAATTCATCAAATTTCATATTTTCCATGTTTCAAAAAATTCTGAAAAAATACAGATATACATGGAGGCATAACACACATGTTTGTATTTTCAAGGCAAAAGACACTGAAATGAGAGCTGTGCAAAAAAGACAAATCTAGAGCTTTTTAACACATGATACTGTTCATCCTTCCATGCCATGAATTTGTCTTTTTGTACAGGTCGCATTTCAACGTATTTTATCGTGAAATTTTACACACATACACATAACATCCTTATTTACTTGCACACAAATTTTTAGATTTTTCTGAAACCAAATTTTTTGAATTTTGAATTTTTTAAAAAAAGGCCCTCCATGGAGGCCGAGAGCCAAACGTCCGTTCTCCTCTCTTTTACGTTATCAAACATGTTATGATTTTATATCTTGCATCTGCATACTTCGAACACACATTAACATTGATCATGAATGACCCTCTCATGAAGAAAGGCGGGACATATTCTTGTGCCTATTGGTTATACTCTTTTATTAGTAGAAGTGTGTAGTAATATATTTTTCTCCCGTTGCAACGCACGTGCTCTTTTGCTAGTAAGAATACAATAGAAGATGCAGGAATCAACATAAAGCTGCCAGTAAGCTGTTCTATTAGCCTTTTCAGAGTCGCTGGCCGCTTCCTCTGTACGTAGGCCAGAAGTCAGATCAAAGTAGCCGGAAACGGGGAACGGTGGGCCGTACCTCGATCCGGATTCATCGACCCAGAATCAGATTCGGGAACGAGGGTCGATTCGGTAAGATTCGATGCGGATTCGGCGTTTCTGCAGCCGGATCGTCGATTCAGGTTCAGCAACTCAACAGTCTTGAATCTTGAATCGATTGAGTAAGCAAAAGGTCAACCATATCAATCACGAACTCCTCGTTTTACTCTCTGCCTGTTCTTTTCCAATCCCCTAAATAACTCCTTCTGCTCTCCAATTACTCCAAGGCTGCTAATAAATTTTTCATTAGGAAGGAAATGATTTATTTTAGTCTTCATGGATCGACGATTCACGTTCCTCGTTCCATGGTACCGTACCGGATTCATCGTACCGGAATTGATTGGATCGTGTTTTCGCTTTAGAAAAATCGTTCTAGAGATGTATACCCCCGCTGTACCCTATTTTTTCCAGCCTCCGACTCTCGTCCCCCGTTCCCGTTCCTCGTTCCCACCGTACCGAAAACATGGCAACTATGAGTCAGATCCGTTATTTCAGGCGCTTCTTTCTCTAGGTCTCCACTTCCTGTGTTACTGAAAATGGAATCTGGTTAACTGTCAAGTGGCTAGCATTCTGCATCGCAAGTTTCACCAAGGCAAAGCCTTGATGACTTTCAAGTCTGGGTGGCTCACAAAGTCACCGGTCTTGTATAGACTACTGATCCACTGATCACATCAGACCAAGCATGGATGCGATCAGTACTTTATTATACAGCCAAGGGAGTAGTTGTGTAGAGTAATACTGATACAATGTCCACATGAAGATCAAGAATTCCAAGAATGGATACGAAAGTAGCAGGCGACTATAAAGATGCACCGGGGATGAATCACATCGATCACAGATTCAAACGTCTCAATCCACCTTACCATTCCCCCCGAAGCCTGCACTACCATCGTGCTGCTTCTTGTGCTGCGCGCAGCTCACCGTCCATGGAGTCGCATCGTAAGAGCTGGTGCCACTGCCACCCCCAGTGAGTTCTCCTTGCCCTCTTGTTCGAGAGCCTGATCAGTCGTGGATCCATTCCTCCACGAAACTGTCCAAGTATGTGTGGTAGAAAATATATGCAACCTCTTGGCACTCTCAGTTCCACACTTCCCCTAGTCCTTGTCCTCTGCTCCCTTGTCCATGCATCTTCATTAGGTGCCACGGCACTCCAAAATGATTCTAACACCGACCTTCATGCTCTCCGCTGCCTTAAACTCCATCTCACCAGCTCTGCTAGACTCCTAGCCTCCTGGACAAATGACTCGCTGCAGTTCTGCGGTTGGTCCGGTGTTACTTGCAGCAAGACACACGCATCTCGTGTCGTTGCACTGGACCTTGAGTCACTTGAACTCAATGGACAGATACCGCCTTGTATAGGCAATCTCAGTTTCCTCACTAGAATCCACATCCCAAATAATCAACTTGCTGGCCAAATACCACCTGAACTTGGCTATCTAAATAGGCTGCGGTATCTTAACCTCAGCACAAATCATCTTAGAGGCACGATTCCGAGCACTCTGTCTTCATGCCTTCGCCTTCAAATTATTGATCTTGGGAGTAACTCCCTTCATGGTGAGATCCCCCCAACCCTGAGCCGATGTTCACATATACAACAGCTCAACTTGGGTCACAACATGCTCACTGGCGGTATCCCACAAGGGTTGGGGATGCTCTGCAACCTTTCAGTTTTGGATCTTGCTAGCAATAGTCTGACGGGCGACATTCCACTTTCACTTGGAAGCAGCTCTTATCTTCATTCTGTTGTTCTCACAAACAATAGCCTCACAGGACCTATCCCGCTTCATCTAGCTAATAGTTCATCACTTCAACTTTTATCATTGACAAGAAATAGCCTGGGTGGAGAGATTCCTTCTGCGCTGTTTAACAGCACGTTACTTCAAAAGTTATCACTAGGACTGAACAACTTTGTCGGGTCCATACCAGCTTCGTCGAACATTGATTCACCCTTACAATACCTTTCTGGCACCATACCTCCTCCTTTAGGGCTTGTTCGATTAATCCCTCCCATAAGGGGATTGGAGAGGATTGGAGGGGATTGAGGTGGATTTTGACTTGTGGGGGATTTAATCCCTCTCAATCCCCTCCAAACCCCTTCAAATCTGAAGGAACCGAACAAGGCCTTAGGGAATTTTTCTTCCCTTCGCCGGCTTTCGCTAGCAGATAATAATTTCCAAGGTAGAATCCCGATGAGTATAGGCAATATTCCATACCTGCAAGTACTAGATCTCACTTATAACTTCTTGTCAGGGACTGTCCCTGGCACTCTCTACAACATGTCAGCACTTACACACCTTGGCATGGGTACAAACATACTTGTAGGGGAAATTCCATATAACATCGGGTATTACCCTTCCAAATATCCAAACTTTGATTGTGCAAGGAAACCAATTCCAAGGCCAAATCCCCACTTCACTAGCCAACACAACCAATCTTCAGATGATCGACCTCCGAGAGAATCAATTCCATGGTATTGTTCCTTCTCTTGGGACTCTTCCTAGTCTAGTCGATCTAGATCTAGGTGGGAATCAACTTGAAGCAGGAGATTGGTCTTTTTTATCCTCATTGACCAATTGCACACAACTGGTGAAGTTGCGTTTGGATGAAAATAACCTTCAGGGTGTCTTGCCCAAGTCCATTTGAAGCCTTTCAAAAAGCTTAGAGTTACTGCTATTGAGATCAAATAAAATATCTGGCATTATACCACACGAGATACAGTACTTGACAAGCCTCCAACTTCTTTATATGGACCAGAATTTGCTTACTGGATATATTCCTGAATCACTTGGAAATCTTCCAAACTTATTTGTCTTAAGCTTGTTCAAGAACAAACTTTCCGGATCAATTCCACTTTCTGTTGGTAATCTGAGTCAACTGAGTGAGCTATATTTACAGGAAAATAATTTGAGTGGTCCTATCCCAGGAGCTATAGCAGGCTGCAAAAAGTTGGAACAACTGAACCTCTCTTGCAACAGCTTTGATGGAAGAATACCAAAGGAGCTCTTTACTCTTATCTCCCTTTCCCAGTGTCTGGACTTGTCTCACAACCAACTCTCTGGACAGATACCTCTGGAGATTGGCAATCTGAGAAATCTTGGGCCACTAAATATTTCCCATAATCAACTGTCTGGACAAATACCCCCCACTCTAGGTCAGTGCGTCCGTTTGGAGTCCCTCCACATGGAGTGTAACCTCTTTCATGGGAAAATCCCTCACTCCTTCAGAAGTTTGGAAGGAATCATTGAGATGGATCTATCTCAAAACAACTTATCTGGTGAAATCCCTGACTTCTTTAAGTTCTTTTAGTCTATGAAGCTTCTCAATTTGTCCTTCAATAATCTCGAGGGTCCAGTACCATCAGATGGGATATTTCAGAATGGAAGCAAGGTTTTCATTCAAGGGAATGTGAAGTTATGTACCAGCATTCCATTGCTACAGCTGCCATTTTGCAATGCAGAGACATCCAAACAAAGGAATGTCTCCAGCATTTTCAAGATAGTAGGATTTACAGTTCTCTCTTTGGTCCTGTTATCATGCTTTGCAACCATTATTTGAAGAAGAAAAAGAAACTCAAACAAGCAGCTCATCCATCCTGCAAAGAGTTGAAGAAGTTCACATATGCAAATTTAGTGACAGCAACAAATGGTTTCTCACCAGATAACATGGTCGGTTCAGGAAAATATGGTTCTGTGTACAGAGGTAGAATTGAATCTGAAGAACATGAAGTTGCCATCAAAGTTTTCAAACTCAATCAACTCAGAGCACCAAAAAGCTTCATTGCTGAGTGCAAGGCATTGAGGAACACTCGTCACAGGAATCTTATAAGGGTGATTACAGCATGCTCAACCATTGATCCAACAGGACATGATTTCAAAGCTATTGTTCTTGAATATAGTGTTAACAGCGACCTGGAAAGTTGGCTCCATCCAACAGTCCATGAGGTTGGTCAAAGAAGGCCATTGAGTTTCGGTACAAGAATAGTAATAGCAGTGGACATAGCTGCTGCTTTGGATTACCTCCATAACCAATGTGTGCCTCCTATGGCACACTGTGATCTGAAGCCTAGCAATGTCCTTTTGGATGATTTCATGGGCGCCCATGTTGGCGATTTCGGGTTGGCTAAGTTCCTGCATAGTCATAATTCTTCGGACATTCATAGTTCTACAAGCTTAGTGGGGCCAAGAGGATCGGTTGGATACATTGCACCAGGTAATAATTTCTAAAGAGAGGTTGCTTTGTTTTTAACAAAAAATATGCAAGTTGTGTTAATTGATTGTTTGAATGACTTATGCATACTGCAGAATATGGCTTTGGGAGCAAAATCTCCACTGAGGGCGATGTATTTAGCTATGGAGTCATCATCTTGGAAATGCTAATAGGAAAGCGTCCAACTGATGAGATGTTTAAAAATGGCCTGCGCCTTTACAAATTTGTTGAAAAATCATTTCCTCAAAAGATTGAGGAGATTCTAGACCCTAGGAAAGTTCCAGGTTATAGAGATGAAGGTGAAGATGCAGGAGGTGATTTAGACTGGGAAACTCATCGAATGGTTGCTATGAACTGCATCATAAAGCTCACTGAGCTTGGGTTGTTGTGCTCTGCAGTGACACCTAAAGATCAGCCCACTATACAGCACGTATACAACGAAGTTACCGCAATCAAAGAATCATTTCCAGCATTGCAGGGCTGAGGAAAAGGAAAATGCATATGATGCCTTGAAGAAGACTAGTTTACATTTTTTTTGACTAAGTACTTCTTTGTCCAAAAGGAAAAGTCTATTGTGAAGCTTTTCCTAGCCTGCCCCTCCCCTGTATCTTGTGGTTTTTCTTTTACTTTGCCGCACCTCGCAGCACCACTGTAAACCCTACGTATCTTAATACAATGAAGCAGCCCGGCTGCATTCGTCCCCAAAAAAAGGTCTATTGTGTATGCAAATGTCAACCAGCTTAGCTCTATGGAATAATGTTCAGCCTTGAAGCTTTCCTGTCTTACTCTTTTTTTCTGATACCTAATAATAAACTAGTACTATTTATTCCGTTTCTCTGTTTTTCAACTTGCTTGCTATTGCCAGGCATGCATATATTGCTCTCTGCTTAAAAGGCTGTATTTTACTTAACATGAAGATTAAGACGGTTAAAAGTAGCACGGCAGTAGATAAAGGTAGTAAGTCCATTTAAATCACAGAAATACTGAAGCCCGTCATCTATAGAACTGGTTATATAATCTTAGCGTCTTTAATAATTGAAAAACCAGGTTAAATTGCCCCTAAGGAGGTGTGGCATGGTTCGACTAGTTAACCTCCTAATATTCCAAAACCAGGTTGAATCACAACCTAAGGTCGTTTGGCATGCCAGTGTTGACGGGGTGGATTCAACTCAACCTGCTTTGGTGGCTTTCCAAGTTTACGATCTTATATTTCGGAGGGAGTACAACATAACCTTATTTTCACTGACCTGGATGTACAAAGGGGCGGTGGCTGCTCTGAAACCTTTGGTCGAATAGGTGGTGGGCGTTATGTCGATCCGAGGGCGCCTCTCGCCGTTGGACCTGCCGGCAGGCACACCGTTGGTGGAGGACGCGAGCGCCTCGTCGTCCGCTAGTCTTTCTCATGGTCCGATCGCACATCTAGAAGCATCCTCAAAATCGGGTTCAAAGTTAGGACTCAGGATTGAAGACAGCCAGACTGCGAGGGGGTAGTGTAATAGAGTGCTCCTCCTAAGCCTTCAGGCGCTGGGAGAGCCAACTGGCGCCCAGGCACGCCGCAGTCATTGGCCGACCCATCGAAACTACGACGTATCCCCTCCATCGGCGAATAAGTATACATCTAGTTTTTGTTCTAAGTCAAAATTTTACAACTTTAACCAATTTTATAGGAAAAAACAGCAACATTTATGGCACTAAATTGGTATCACTAGATTCATTTTGAAATGTACTTTCATAATATATCAATTTGATGTCATATATGCTACTACTGTTTCTATAAAGTTGATCAAAATGTTACAACTTTGACTTAAAACAAAATGTAGAAGTACACTTATTCACCGACAGAGGGAGTAGCTCGCTTGGTTAATCGGATGACCAGTCGACGGTTGACTGGCTAATAGGTCAACCGTTTAGGGCTCTTTTGGTTGTAGTTGTAGGAATCTCATAGAATTTCTATAGGATAGGATTTGCATACAAAAATTTCCTTTAAACCTCCATTTTTCTTCTCCAATTTGGCCACATGCCATTGGGGGGGGGGGGGCACCCCTTGTGGGCTAGTGGCTCCCTCTCATTGCCCATATGGCCATATATTCCCTCCGACCCCTCCGGTATTCCGATAAATACTCGATACACTCTAGAACACTTTCGGTGTTTCAATACTATCGTCCTATATATCAATCTTTATCTCTCGATCATTTTGAGACTCCTTGTCATGTCAGTGATCTCATCAGCAACTCCAAACAACATTCGGTCACCAAATCACAAAACTCATATAATAGAATATCATCGTCGAACGTTAAGTGTGCGGACCCTACGGGTTCAAGAACTATGTAGACATGACCGAGACACCTCTCCGGTCAATAACCAATAGCGGAACCTGAATGCTCATGTTGGGTCCTACATATTCTACAAAGATCTTTATCGGTCGAACCGTTATGACAATATACGTTATTCCCTTTGTCTATCGGTATGTTACTTGCCCGATATTCGATCGTTGGTATCTACATACCTAGTTCAATCTCTATACCAGCAAGTCTCTTTACTCATTCTGTAATACATCACCTCGTGACTAAGTCCTTACTCGTTTGCTTGCAAGCTTATGATGTGTATTACCGAGAGGGCCAAGAGATACCTCTTCGATACTCGGACTGACAAATCCTAATCTCGATCTATCCCAACTCAACAAACACCTTCGGAGATACCTGTAGAGCATCTTTATAATCACCCAGTTACGTTGTGATGTCTGATAGCACACAAGACATTCCTCCGGTATCCAGGAGTTGCATAATCTCATAGTCGAAGGAATATGTATTTGACATGAAGAAAGCAATAGCAATAGAACTGAACGATCATAATGCTAAGCTAACGGATGGGTCTTGTCCATCACATCATTCTCCTAATGATGTGATCCCGTTAATTATCAAATGACAACTCATGTCTATGGTAAGGAAACCTTAAACATCTTTGATCAACGACCTAGTCCAGTAGAGGCTCACTAGGACACGATGTTTGTTTATGTATTCACACATGTATTAAGGTTTCTAGTCAATACAATTCTAGCATGAATAATAAACCTTTATCATGAATAAGGAAATATAAAATAACAACTTTATTATTGCCTCTAGGGCATATTTCCTTCAGATAGTTCATGAAGGGCTGGGGTGCCAATGTGGGATAGGGCCTCAAGATCTGGAAGGGGGCCCTTCTCATGGAGATTTAGGTCTTGGACCCGAAGGCCAATGCTGCAGGCTTGCCCCCGGAGGAATGGTGTAACGCTCCGAGACCGATGTGCCAGGTGTCCGCCAGTTATTCGCTGTTGTTGTCTTGTCATTCGCTTGCGTGTTGCATCTTGTCATGTCATCATGTGCATTGTATCATCATGTCTTAAAAACTTGCATCCGTCCGGGTTTTCCTAGTTCCTTCCGTTGTCCGTTCTGAGCCCAGACACACTCGCATGCGCCCGCGGCATGTCCGAAATAGTATTTTATAAGTGGCCAAAAAATGTTCTCGGAATGGGTTGAAAGTCGGCATGTGGTGTTGTTATGTTGTTAGTAGGTCGCCTGCCAAGTTTCATCGCATTCGGAGCTCGTTTGATAGCCCAACCGTTAAACTATAGCGGCATTATAGCCGGTCTAACGTCGGACGTTTTCGGTCTCCGGAAACAGTCGTCGGGCCTCTCCTCTTCTCTCTTCTCAGCCCTTTGCCTTCTGCACTACCTACCGCCAGGTCCAACCTAACCTCTCTCGTCAGCCCGCGGCCCTCCTCGCGCGCTTCCGAAAATTGTCCCGGACCCGACCTGAGCACTCGTCACCGTCGTGTCCGGGTCATCCCCAAACATCTGCAAAACATCTCCGTTTTGTTAATTGGGCTCCCTAGCAATTTTATCCGCAATCGTCCGATTGCGATCGTAGGGACGAGGTAGCCCCTAACCTAGTCTGTGAGGTATATATATACTCCATTCCTAGTCTTTTGGGACAAACCCTAAAAATTGGGACCCTTGTCCCATCCTTCCCCTTGCCGCCGCCACACTCAATTCACCTCGGGATCCTCCCAGATCGGATCTATCCAATCGACCAGCGCCACATCGCCTCCTCTTCCATCCTCTGCTGCTCCCTCGCTCGACCCCCCTGCATCCCGTGCCTTCCCGCGCCGGCAACCGAGTCCCCCACACAGAGCGATGGATCCAGAGACCCTGCCTCGTGCAGCCGCGCAAGGAGCACGAGCTCCCATGGCCGTCGCCGAGCCGCTCGAGCACCTCCTCCTTCCTCCCGTCGCCTCGCCGCTCCGGCAACCAGGTCATGCCACCGCTCCCCGTGTCCTCCTCCTCCTCCTCTCCTTTTCCTGCTCTCTCTCCCGAGCTCATCTCTCTCTCTCCCTCCCGTTCTGCAGGAAGCCACCAGGACGGTGCCGCCATGAACGGGAGTCACCTCCTGCCGCCGTTCACCTCGACCGCGCCCAAGTCTTCCCCTGCCCGATCCATGCCTCGTCCCTGGCCCCCTCCTCGCCTCGCCGTCCGACGATGAGCACCGCCGCTGAAGCTCCTCCTCCATGGATGCCAAGTACCAAGGTCCCCGTGCCCGTCCTTATGGCGCCCCGCATCCTCTTCGTGGCCCCGAAGCTCCTCTGTTGCCTTTCCCGACCTGCCTCGGTCCATAGGGAACCCATTCCCGTCCTCCTCCGCGCCGGATACAGCAAGCACCGGGCGGATTTTGCGCCGCCGCAAGCCCCGCTGTCGGCCACCAAGTCCCTTGCGCCTCCTCTGCATCCAGGTCACCTCACCTCCTCTCGCTCACACTCCGGCCCTCTCTCTGTCCCTGCCTCTTGTCTGAATCCTCCCTGCCATGGCCCTGCAGTTCCTCGCCGCCTCCAGGGCTCCACATTGCGCCACCAGAGACCAGCTGCCGCCGCACCTGTCCCCTGCCGGGCTGCCTCGACCTGCGGCTGCAGTTTTCTTCAGAAACATGCGGAGCGCACGCAGTCAGCGCCTCCGCTGCGCCTCGCGTTGACCCAACGGCCTCAATCTCAACCGGGCCTGGCCCATGGTGCGAAATCCCCCCAGCTCCCATGCTCTGTTTTGGCCCAGTGCATGGATTCGGCCTTGTTATGTGTTTTTCTTGCCAGGACGTTTTTTTCTTCTATTTAATCAGAGTTCTGCAGTTTTCAGAAAACCCCTTATTGTTCATGCATATAATAACTTAATAACCGTGCATCATATTAAAATGATTTATATATGAAACTTGCTTAGAATTTTGTGTAGATTAATAATTTGCCACTTTCATCTATGTTTAAAATGTTTAAAATGTTGTTTGTTCAAATTTGCCTAATGCCATGCTAAAATGATTTAATTCATAACTTAATAACCGTAGCTCGGTTTTAAACAAACTTTATATGTAAATGGGGTAGAAAAATGCATAGTTTAACATGGTGCACTTTTATTGCATGTTTAATAACTCTAAAATTGTGTTTAGGGAAGAACAGGACCAAACC